CATTTAGAGGAGGTAGGTGTTTAAAAATTATCTGTTCCGAGTGACAAATGAGCCAGGTAGGCTGCTGGTGCACTGAAGAAAAGGAACATGAAATTAGAGAGCTATAAGGAAGCCAACAAAGGTGGAGGTGCTGGAAAGGGGGGAGAAGGGATTTCACAACACCCTCTGTAGGAACTCAGCAGGCCTTACTGACTGGAAGCTGGCTCAAAACAGAGAAAGTGGGAGAGGAGGTCAGATGGGTGAGCAGGGGTCAGACCAACTTTAGTCTGGTGGGCCAGGTGAGTTTATTGTTGATCTTGAGAGTAATGGGGAAACCATTGAAGGATGTTAAGAAGCGAAGAGACAATCAGATCTGTGACTGGAAAATCCCATCACTCTGGATTCATGGAGGAGAGTGGAATGGAAGGAGACCTGGTAAATGCAGGCAACAGAAAACAGGCTGAGCAGGTACCCAGATGAGAGATGATGGTGGCCTGAACTGGTGGGGTAGTGATGGTCAGCGTCTCTCCAAAAACCTCACCACCTACCGGCTGCAGTCTGGATTGAACAGCTCAAGGGTGAGCCCAACCTTGAATTCCTGTGGCCTTTAAGGTTTAGACTCCAAGGCACCCATCTGAAAGGACTTAGGGTAGTCTGCATGTACTAATAACTACCACATTGCAGTGGCAAACAGAAGTTTTGGATTTGGTTTTCCAAAACTTTACTTCCTTTTCTGGGCTTCCATAGGAATTTGAATATACTCATCATAGAGCATTGACTTTGATTCGTTTAACAAATATTTATTGAGCACCTACTGTGTGTCAGGCAATCTCCTAGGAATAAAGCAGTAAACAAAGACAAAAATCTCTGCCTTTTAGAGTAGAGTGTGAGACATCGAAAAACAAGTGAACAAATAAAATAATTGAAGATGTGGTAGGTACAATGAAGAAACGAGGAAGAGTGGTGAAAAAGAACAATGCAGCCCTGGCCGGTTTGGCTCAGCGGTTAGAGCGTCGGCCTGCGGTCCTGAGAGACCCGGGTTCGGTTCCCGCTAAGGGCATGTACCTCGGTTGCAGTGTGTCCCCGGCCCTGGTCGGTTGTGCGGGTGGCAACCACTCGATATGTCCCTTTCACATCGATGTTTCTCTCTCTCTGTTCCTCTCTCTCCCTCCCACTCTACCTGAACAAAAAATGGAAAAATGTCCTCGGTTGAGGATTAAAAAAAAAAAAAAAAGAACAATGCAACCAAAATGAGGACACCTGATAATACCAAACTAGGGACAGGACGTGTATGTTGTTGGTGAAAAAGTAAATTGGTATAACTTGGAAGTTTGGCATTACCTTGTAAAAGTTAGCAATCAGCCTGGCCGGTGTGGCTCAGTGGTTGAGTGTGGACCCATGCACCAAGAGGTCTCCAGTTTGATTCCTGGTCAGGGCACATGCCCAGGTTGTGGGCCCAATCCCCAGTGCCGGGCATGGGTAGAAGGCGGCCAATTGACGTTCTCTCCCATCAATGTCTCTATCTCTCTCTACCTCTCCATTCCTCTCTCTAAAAAAAAAAAGTTAGCCATCATATGTCTTCAGATGTGCAATCACACTTTCCATGAGATACTTGGGAGACCTTCCTGCCCTTGAACACCAGGGACACATCTAGGATTGTTAACAGTAACACTCTTCATAAAAGCAAAAATCTGGCAATAATTCAGATGTCTATAGATGGGAGAATAGGTAGAAAAATTGTGCATATTCCCACAGTAGAATGTGAATGTACTCCATACAGGTGCAATAATTTAGATGAATTTTAGCATTATAATATTGAGTGAGAAAGTAAATACCAGAATATTACATAGAGCACATAATACTTTATTTTTTTTATTTTATTTTTTTATCCTCACCCGAGGATATTTTTCCATTTTTTGTGCAGATAGAATGGGAGGGAGAGAGAGGAAGGGAGAGAGAGTGAGAAACATCGACGTGAAGGGACACATCGAGTGGCTGCCACCCGCACGACCAACCAGGGCCGGAGACAAACTGCAACCGAAGTACGTGCCCTTAGCGGGAACCGAACCCGGGTCTCTCTGGACCGCAGGCCGACGCTCTAACCGCTGAGTCAAACTGGCCAGGGCAGCACATAATACGTTAATAAAGCTAAAGAGAATATATTTTTAAGAAAAACATTTTTTTTCCCCTCATCTGGGGACATTTTTTTTTTTTTTTTTTGCACTTATTTTAAGATAGAGCAGGAAGGAGAGAAGGATGAAGAGAGAAACATCGACATAACAGAGATACATCGACATGATGAGTGGTTGCCACCCACAGGACCCCAACTGGAACCGGGAACAAACTGCAACCGAGGTAAGCGCTTTTAGTGGGAACCGAACCTGGGACTCTCTGATTTGGGGCCGACGCTCTAACTGCTGAGCCAAACCGGCCAGGGCAAGAGAAACATTTTTAAAAGAATAGAAAAGAGAAACTGGAATCCTCATACACTGCTGGTTGGAATGTAAAATGGTGCAGCAAATCCACCGAGTCAGAAAGATGAATGTTTGCCTTAGAGCTGGGGGTTAGAACAAAGGTGAGTATAGAGTTTCTTTTGGGAATGATGAAAATATTCTAAGTGATTGCAGTGATGGCTGCACAACTCTGTGAAAATAGTACTGAATTGTACACTGTAAATTAATAAATAGTATGGTATGTGAATTATATCTCAATAAAGCTGTTAAGTATTTTTTAAATGTAAGGGAAGATTCAAGATAGACATGAATTACATGAGGTGAAGGAAGGCAGGGGATGGAATACGCAAGTTCATAGGGAAGCTAGGTTATCAAATTTTCAGTTCTTGTATTAGGTTGCCGATTTCACTGTTATTTCTTATATAAATACATACGAACATAAAGTGAGCCAGTCATGGACAATGATGAAAATGTGTCACAGACGAGAAATTCTGTGCACCTGAGATGTTTAGTGACAGGTAAGCAACAGCAGAGAGTGGTCAGGGTAGCCTCTCTGGACAGTCCATCTGAGCTGAGGCTAGAATGAGATGAGCCAGCCATGTGGGGAATGGGGGTGCAGTTTTCCAGGCAGAGGGGACAGCGTGTACAAAGGCCATACACTGGGCCCAAGCCTTGTGTCTTTGAGTAACATCCAGGAGGCCAGCAGGCATAAACTATAATGATAATAATAGCAGCAGCTACAGGGCCAGAGTAAGACCTTTGAGAGGCCCTGAGCATTTAAAAGATGGCGTGTCCATATGTCATTTGAAATAAAACGAATTATTAAATGCAAAAAGTTGAAGTGTTAGAAAATTTTTAAAAGCTTTTATTTTTCCCATGATCACTCTTTGATATCTTTACTAGACGTCAGGGATGTGTTTACATCCCTTATACCACTGAATTTGTAAAAAACAACCATATGAAAGAGAAACTGCTTTTTCCCCATTTTAAGATAAGCAAAGGAGGTACTGGGATACGAATACAGTAATTCTGACTCGATGGAACATTTGACCAGCCAGGCTGCCGTTGTGAATGTTCAAACTCAGGAATAGCTGGATCTCAGCGTCCAGTGAGCAGAGGAAGGATTTAGTAGCGAGCAGGACCTTCTTCTGAGTGCCCTGTGTCTTTAAGAATCACCCCCTCCCGCCCGCGACGCTCCAATTTCCCTCCAGGGCACCGGAGCATCACCCCGCCCCCCGCTTCTGCGGTGCCTCACCTCAACCCCTCCTCCACGCCCCACACCCACAGACTGCGCTCTCAGCCCCAACCCGCCAAGTGGAGGGTGAGGTCTGCCGCCAGAGACAAGTTCCCTCCGCCCCGGACGGTGCCCACCCACTATGCTCCAGCAGAATGCCATTTTACAGCCCCTAATTCCGACCCCTTCCAGCAACTGATTCCGAGGGTCTAGGCCCCAGCTCCCCCTCTCTCATCGCCCAGGTCCGGGTCGCCGTGAAGGTGACCTCCCCCGGGGTTAGCACACACCCCGCAGTGCCCGTGCGGGATCACACGTGGCGAGCGGGGAACGCGCAGCCCCTCCCCGCCACGCGCCTTGAGCATGCGTCGCCGACACGCCCCTTCGCCTGGCTCCGCCCCCGTGCCCGCGCACGCTAGCCCGGACCCGAGAGGGGCGTCGCACCCTAGTCCCGCAGCACACAGGCTTTGCTGTATAATAGGACCTGATTATGGGGCACCCACACATCCTCGAACATCGCTCGAGGACTGTGAAAAGTGGGAAGTCCGCCCTGCTCAGGACTTGGCTAGTAAGCGAGGTGCCCCGGGCCCTTGGACACTGAGCAGGGAAAAGAGAGAGCTGGGGCCGCGAGCCTAGGTTTCGAGCCCTAGTCCACACATCCTTGGTGTTTCGTACATTGAGTGTGAGCATAATATTCCCTTCTTTCTCAGGATTTACGGGCGCCTCGAAGAGATAAGAACTATGAAAGGGTTCATTGGGTACAAAAGCATTTGTTGAGCCGCTATGTGGCTGGATCCTGTCTGTCCTAGGCAGGGACTACATCTGTGACACGATGAGTCCGTCCCCTTAAGGAGCTTTCCTGAGCCTGAGTCCCTAAAAAGATGCTCGGAAAGAGGAAGGGGCGGAGGTCCTACCTGGCGGCAGGTGTCACCGAATAAGCTAAAATTTCAAAAGCAAGGCGGGGCGGGGACAAGCTTTCGGAACCAGATGGGAAGCACAGTCGGTGCCCCCTCCCCACCCCCATCCTCCCCCCACCCTCTCCCGTCCTCAACCTAAGAAAAGAAACCGATCTCATCCGACACCCCCAGTCCCAGACTCGAGACCGCCCAGCCCCGCCCCGCCCCGCCAGCCAGCGATTGGGAGATGCAAATACCAGGTTCTCTGCCCAGCAACGGGTGACGCGTCGCCGGAGCGCGAGGCGTGGTCCGGCCGCAGCCCAAGCGGGCACCTCGGTGTTTACACGGGGCGGCCCCGCGCGCGCCGCAGCGGCCCGCAGACGGCGTGGGGGAGGGGTGGTGCGCGCGCCGGCGGGACCGCGCGGGGAGAAAGACACTGGAAGGCGGCGGGGCGAGGAGCGGCGCGCGCGGGCCGCGGCTGAGCAGGAGGCTGCTAGGAGAGCCTGCGGGGGCCCGAGGGATACGATTCCTCCGCCCCGCAAAACAATGTGTAGCGTGCAGCGGGGGGCAACTTGCGGGAGGTGGCGGGGGCGCGCCGAGCCCGCCTGAGACGGAGCCACTGACCTTCTCCCCCCGCCGTCCGTTGGGCCCGAGCGCGCAGCTCCTCGCTCCCCAGCTCTCGGGGGCCGGGCCGAGCTGTGGGGCGGGGCCGCCCCTCGGTCGCTGCTGCCTCCTCCCCCACCCCCAGCCGCGGAGGATGCGGACGGCCCCCGGCGGCGTCTAGCGGCCCCGGGCCCAGGCGCGATGGTGCAGCAGCGGGGCACGCGGGCCAAGCGGGACGGCGGGCCGCCGCCCCCGGGGCCCGGGCCGGCCGAGGAAGGGGCACGTGAACCCGGCTGGTGCAAGACCCCGAGCGGCCACATTAAGAGACCGATGAATGCGTTCATGGTGTGGTCACAGCACGAACGGCGGAAGATCATGGACCAGTGGCCCGACATGCACAACGCCGAGATCTCCAAGCGCCTGGGCCGCCGCTGGCAGCTGCTGCAGGACTCGGAGAAGATCCCGTTCGTGCGGGAGGCGGAGCGGCTGCGCCTCAAGCACATGGCGGATTACCCGGACTACAAGTACCGGCCGCGCAAAAAGAGCAAGGGGGCGCCAGCCAAGGCGCGGCCCCGCCCCCCCGGCGGCGGTGGCGGTGGCGGCGGTGGCAGCCGGCTCAAGCCCGGGCCGCAGCTGCCTGGCCGCGGGAGCCGCCGAGCGGCGGGAGGGCCTTTGGGGGGCGGCGCAGCGGCGCCCGAGGACGACGATGAGGACGACGACGAGGAGCTGCTAGAAGTGCGCCTGGTCGAGACCCCTGGGCGGGAGCTGTGGAAGATGGTCCCGGCGGGGCGGGCTGCCCGGGGACCAGCGGAGCGCGCCCAGGGGCCGTCGGGCGAGGGGGCGGCTGTCACTACCGCCTCTCCGACTCCGTCGGAGGATGAGGAACCTGAGGAAGAGGAGGAGGAGGTGGCGGCAGCGGAGGAAGGTGAAGAGGAGACGGTGGCATCGGGAGAGGAACCGCTGGGCTTTCTGTCCAGACTGCCCCCGGGCCCAGCCGGCCTGGACTGCAGCGCCCTGGACCGCGACCCGGACCTGCAGCCTCCCTCGGGCACGTCGCACTTCGAGTTCCCGGACTACTGCACCCCCGAGGTTACCGAGATGATCGCGGGGGACTGGCGCCCGTCTAGCATCGCCGACCTGGTTTTCACCTACTGAGCCCACCGTCAGCGGGGCGCGCAAGCCCCCAAATCAGCTGTTTACATACAGGAATCAGGTATTGGGGCCCCTCGGAGGCCGAGGCTGGCACCCCATCTCCCACGCAGCCTCCCCCCTCCTAGACGTGCCCATCCCCCTTGAATCCAGACATGCCCCTCCCCCGCAGACACACCCCAAGACCTCCCAACCCCCACCCTTTCCCTGACATCCAAGCCCCTCCCCGTCCTGCCCCCTCCTGCACAGCCACCAGCAGTCAGCCCCCCTCCGATACACCTCCCGTCCTTTCCTACAGACCTGTGCCCCTCCCCCACTATGCACTTGCCCCTCCTCGAGGCCGGAGGACACGCCCCTGCCCTTGCTCCAGGATCCCTCCGCCTTCATTTATCCCGCCTCCTCTCTTGTTTAAGGGGGCGCTGGGGCCCAGCTGCCCTGCGCGCTCCTCCCCGGCTCCTCCCCTCCCAAGGCGGGGGGAGGGGCGCGCTCCTGTTACTCCGGGAGCACTGGGAGCCGCCCCCTTCTCGCGCATGCTTAATGCTTATTAGGAGGAGGGGGCTGGTCCCCCTGGCTTGCTCCGGGGAGAAGCGGGTTGGTTATAGAGCTACCCTGAGAAATATTTTGATCCGGGAGCTGCGGCTTCCTTTCAACCTGACAGGGTGTCACTGCCTTAATGGGAGGGACACTCAGAGGGGGAGAAAGGGTCTAGCTGGTCCGAAAGGGTTGGTTTGGAGCTTGGAACTGTCCCAAGTGGCATAACCCCCCTTTCGCTTACGGTGTCACCCAGACACACATGCAACCCCCTCCCCCCCACACACACCGACTGCTTGAATGCCTCTACAGCCTATCTTGGTCACCAGAAACCTCTCTTTCATTCCCCCACCTGGGAATTGGGGGTAGGGTCTTTTCTCTGGAAGTTCACGAGAGGAAGGGGCTGCCCATGAAAACTGAGAACCAAGATACATACCAGTCTATTTGGGGACAGGGTCCCTGCTGCTTTCCCCCCTCCTCTGGAAGTGCCCTGTCACTCCAGGGCACACTCCCAGCCTGGGCTTCTTCTGTACCCACAGTGATAGTATTCAGTGGAAGAAACTGAGGCATATTGCTACTATGGGGTTGAGACTGAGGCATGATAGCAGATGGAGTGGCAAGAAGAGCCTCGTTTTAAAGAAGAGCCTCGTTTTTAAGCAGCTGACTTGCGAGACCATCGACTGGACCAGTGGGACTGAAGGGCGGTCAGAGCAGTGGAGGTGTGCCCTGTGCACCTCATTTTTTCCATGTGAAAAATAGGGATAGTGCTGCTGTAGGAGGAAGTTGTGTCCAGTTCGGGGTGCCTTCGGGGCCCTGCCCCCCCCATATTACCCCTCTTACTCCAATTCTCGACTCAATCCCGTCCCTCCGGCCTCCCCCCACCCCCCTTGCCCTCACTACCTGTATCTCACCGGCGTGTGTTCACCCTGATGGGTGCGCACACACTCTCATTCACACACACAAATCTCAGGAACAAACGGTCCCAGAGTCCTCCGGGACCCCTGCCCAGGGTCTCTGCTGGTCTCTGCCCCACGCGTTCCCGTCGCTGACAAAGCCACCAGCTGCCTCCTTTACGCTTGGTGCTCCGGCTCTGGGCCTTTCTCGCGCTCTCTCTTTCTCTCTCTCTCTTTCTCTCTCTCTCTTTTTTAAGTAAAACAACAACAAAAAAGACAATGAAAAAAACAAACAGAAAACGTCATGTGAGTGAAGAGATGTCATTGTCTGTGGTCTTGGAGAACTAGTCTAGTAGCTGAGGGGAGGGATCCCTCCCAACTGGGGCACTGGCACCCACAGCAGGACTTCCGCCAGTCTGATGCCAGGACTGAATAAAGTGTATTTGCCCCTACCTCGCCCTGTGGTTTACATGTCTGTGCCTTTCCTCAATCCTTCCCAAACTGATTGCCAGAGCTTTTGATTTAGCACCATACAGGAAGAGCTGGGGGTTCCAGGGCAAGGCACCCGGCCCCTCCAGGTCTCTGTCTCCCTCTCTCAGGACTCCCTGGTTTACATTAAGGATGGCAAACTTCTTCCTGCAGGAGCCAGGCAGGTAACATAAATGAATGAGAGTCTGGGTGAACACTGGCTTCATGACCCACTTCAAGGGGGAGAGGGGGCAACTGCTCACCTCCTATCAGTTGTGACCCTGTGGGATTGCAGCCCACAGTGGCCCAGTGGCTAGATTTTCCAAGAGAAAGTGGATGTTTCTATGATCATCTCAATTTCATAATGAAAGCTGACTCAAACATTTGTAGATCTTTGTGGACCAAATGAAATGTGTGAGGCACACCCAGTCCAGGGCGGCCAATTTGACCCTGGTCTTAATGAGGATGAAGAAGCAGTGTTGGGGCCACATTGGGCTCAAAGCCTAGCTCCATTACCTGTGTGACCTTGAGCAAGTTCACTTCACCCTGACTCTTTCCATATGTGTGACATGGGGATGATGGTAGTACCTGCTTCATAGGGTGAAATGAAGTTTGGGGCGAGAAGCATTTAACATGGTGCTTCATAATGGTATTTACGTTGTCCAGATTGAGGAAACAGGGTCAGAGACAGGGTTCCAGGTCTTGGGTCTGTCTCTGTGTTACCTCAGGGTGCTGCCTGTTTGAAACTACAGATGGTGTAAGACTGTTGGCTCTGGGCCTGGAGTGGTGGGGTTGGTCCCAGTGCCTGGCACATAATTGGCCCAAAGTATAGATTTATTGAATGAGTAAAGAAAAGCAGCAAGCAACAAGGATCCCTGCCCTTGAGATTCTCACCAGTGTGTTTTGGAAACAGACCAAGGCTTTTCAAAATTCTTTTTTTCCCCTGACACCCTCTCACCCTAATTCTTCCTCTACCAGATCCTGTGAATTCCTAAGGTTGGACAAAGCCTGTTTCCCCAGTGAGAACCAAGGCCAAGTGTGCAGACCTCATTCAGAGAGGGTATTTGGGGACTGGGATACCGATGGACAATTTAAAAGGGGGCTAGAGCAGGTTTGGGAAGGCTGGGTGTGTACAGAAAGGTGGCCTGGGGCAGTGCAGAAATTACAGTGATGGCTTCTCAGCCTCTGATTGGAAGCAAGGTGCCCCCCCCCCAAGAATTGTATAAGAAAAAGTTGAGGTGTAGAAGACCCAGAACCCCCTTCGAGGAAGTACTTTTCCAGCTGTAGGAAGAATGGTCAGTGGACAGCCTCTGTCAGCTCTTTGAAGGTGTGCTCCAGTTGCAGAGAGCCACTCACCCAGGGCAGCCTGTATCTTGTGTCTGAGATCAGGTACGACTGCCTGGCAGTTTTAGTTCAGTGTGAGACAGGCACTGGCAGGCAGGACTTGCACTGCCCCTCCCCCCATACTCACCGAGGGCCCCTCTAGGATAGGGGAGGCTTTGCCAGGCCTGGAGCCCTCTTGACTTCCTATACCCAATCCTGCCTCCTCCCCCTTTTTTTTCCACAGGTGTTTATCCTTAATAAATATTTTGCACCCCAAACTCAGTTTCTGTGTCTGTTTCTGGAAAAGCCAGTCTACAGTGGAGGGTGCAAAAGGGTCACTGGCTCAGCAACCCTGGCCCCAGCACCCCTGATGCCCCCACCCCCACCCCCAGGAGTTGATGTCAGGAGAAGACTCTTCTCTTCACCACCAAAGCTGTCCCAACCTCAGGGTTGTACCCTTTCCAGTGATCATCACATAGACACTCAAGCTTCAGCCCACAAGGCACTCCAGAGCCCTTCGCTGATGTCATTGTCATTCACAGTCCCTCCCCTGGTCAAAGCTGAGAAAGGGTGGTCATCAGTCTCTCTGCCCTTCAGAATCCCCAGGGGGAGGGGGAGGGTAAAATGCCTGGCTGTTGAAAAGTCGACAGTGTTAGAGAGCTGGGCAACTCTAGGCCAGACTCTCGCTTTGCAAGCCTTAGTTTCCTCATATGTGTAGTGGAGGAGGTGGAACAGGAGGGACCATTTATTATGTGGTTCCTTCCATTTCATAAGGAAATGGATTCTGACCTGAGAAAGGTGGAAAGATCTGCTTATGTGGACTCTGGGGACGCCTAGTGGCTAAAAGGAGTAGGAGGGGTTGGGGGTTGGGGGTGTGTCCCTTTCCAATCTCACTGTATTCAAGCAGTCATTGACTCAATGTCAGGTCCCTTGCCTGGGTTGAGCCATCTTGGTTCTAACACTTTAAAGACACACGCTGATGTGTTGGTTATATATTGCGGCATAACAAGTTGCCAGAAACTTAGAAGCTTAAAACATTTGTTTATTATTTCACAGGAGGCCAGTTAGCTGGGTTCCCTGCTCTGGATCTCACCAGGCTGCAGTCAAGGTGTTGGCTGGCTGCATTCCTTTTTGGAGCTCAGCATACTCTTCCAAATTCACAAGGTAGTGGGCAGAAGTCAGTTCCCTGTGGTTAAGGACAGGGCCCCTGTTTTCCTCCTGGCTGTCACCTGGTGCCATGCTTGATTCCTAAGAGCCAGCTACTCACAGTTTCTCTCTTCACAGGTCCTCTCACAGCATGGCAGCTTATTTTGTCAAGGTCAGCAGGAGAATCTTTCTCAGCTTCCAGTCTCTTGACTCAAGGAAAGCTCTCTTTTAAAGGACTTGCTTGATTCAATCATACCCACCCAGAAAACGTTCCCTTTTGATTAACTAAAAATCAACTGATTTGGGACCTGAGTCTCATTTGCAAAAATCCCTTCACCTTTGTCACATAATGCAACCTAATCACAAGAGGGACTCAAATCGTACTCACTGGTCTCACCCACACTGGGGAAGGGCTTATGTCGGGAATTCACACCAGGGAGTGGGAATCTTGGGGGCCATCTTAGAATTCTTCTTATCTTAATTGTGGATTCTCAGGTCTATTTCTCCATTCCAACATTGCCAGACTTGTATGTCTAGCTGCTTTCTTGTCATCTCCACTGGGATATCTAATTGGCACCCCAAACTTGGCATGTCTAAAAATGAATTCTTGTTTCCACAAAGCTCTTGAGCCTGCTCCCCGACCCCACCCACATCTTCACATATCAGTAAAAGGCCCCAAACCTCGCAGTCTCTTAGCTCTTCTTTTTCTCATAGCTTCAGATCCCTTGGCTCTACCTTCAAAATGTGTCCTGTCAATTCTCATCTCTTTCATGGCCATCCTCCTAGTCCTGGCCCCTATCATCTCTTACCTGGTCCTCCTCACTGGACTTCTTGCTTTCTCCTTTGCCCTGTTCACAGTCTTATTGTTCACACATCAACTCGAGGGATCTGGTTAAACTATAAATTAGACCATGTCCTCCCCCTGCTTAAAACTCTCCAGTGTTCTCCATCTCATTCAGACTCAAAGCCAAAGTCTTCAACATGTCCTCTAAAGCCCTATGTGATCTGGCTTGTGGCTCACCCTGGTACTCATCTCCAATTGCTTTTTCCTTTTCTCACCGTGCTCTACCCATACTGACTTCCTTGTTGTTCCTCAGAACTGCCAAGCACATACCCACCTCAGGCCCTTTGTGCATGCTCTTCACTCTGCTTGAAATGCTCTGCTCCCAGATATTCACACGAGTTACTCCCTCACTTTCTTCAGGTCTCAGCTCCAATGTCACTACCTCAAAAAGGTCTTCCCCAACCATTTATATTAAGTATCACCACCTCCACCTCTTATACTACAGTGATACCTCGGTTCTCGAACATAATTCGTTCCAGGAGGACGGTCGAGAACCAAATTGTTCGAGAACCGAA